TATCAATAACAATGGAGTAAATAATTTTGAGAAAAGGGACAGCTCTTGCTTCTAAATAATAAATATGGTAGGAATGAGGGAAATAGAAAACCCTCACTAAGTGAACACTTTAGTATAAATTATTTCCATTGTTTCCAGGAAGTCAACCAATAGATGCCAAAAATAGAATCCAGAGAAAAATAGGGTATCTACATAAATATCAGTCCTATCTTTGCCATTGGTGACTGATACTATGAAGAAATGATTCACTTTCTTGGTCCTAGGCCATATAGAATGAGTGAATTTGAGTTAGATGGCCCGAAGAGTCCCCTCCAGCTCACATTTCCACAGAAATAGCTACTTCCCATGTGATTATTAGGATTATAACTAGGATTTGTTCTTTTGAGAGGCCTTTCCAGCTAGGTAGTAGCTTCTTTCACCCCAAGGCAAACTGGACCCACTCCAACATGGTGGTGGGGTATGTATGGTTGGGATGCTGCAGCAAGAATTTCCACCTGGGGCTCTGAGTCCCAAAGGTATGCACCCTTGGTTGCCATGTCCAAGTGCCTGTTTCCGTATCCTTCACCCAATCCATACCAACTTCCATAGTTATGCGTGAAGATGGAACATCTAATTATAGTGAATCTTTAGGCTTGTACTACAAGGTTGGGGAACTTTTTACAAGACTTCTGGCAATGCCTGCCCACCTCTTGAACAATTGGACCAGAAGCACTCCCTTAGGGGGAAGAGGCAAAGATCCTATTTATAGGAGAGGGAGAAAGAGGGGTAGAGGAGGGGTAAGAAAGAAGAAACAGTAAAAGACGGAGAGAGAGTACAAACATCTAGTTGGGATCCCTTTTTGCACAAGGAAAGAATTTCACTGTTTCTTTCCATTCAAGTTATTTAAAAAAACAAAACCAAAAACAAATTCTTTCCTTTATTCTTGCTCTGTTTTAAACACTTTGTTGCCCTTAATTCTTTAATCAGCAAAGAAAACAAATCTGAACTCTAGATGGTCTCCCTCTACTTCCACTTTCTCCTTTCCTTTCCCTTATTATGATAGATTCCTCTAGGAAGAGAATTAAGAGTTCTTTTTGTGAAAGAAAGATCTAGAAAGTTGGAAATGAGGGGGAAATAAGTAGTGAAACTCCTACTATGAACTACTACCCTGGGTTGCTATGGGGTGAAGGAAACAAGAGAGGAAAACGTTTCCTGTGAACAGCACAACAAGGAGGGAGATGCTTGGATGGCATGGGAGCACTGGACACTAAGAGGTAAGCTGGCTGTCTTCCATGCCTGGGTCTCCCCAGGCCACCACTGTGTATGACTTACAGTGATCTCACTCTTCCTCTCTCTCTGAGTGTCAGGATTTAAAGCCTGTCTCCCACTGAGCAGGGAAATATGTTCTTCAGTCTGTGAGAGAGGACCTCTCTCTTTTCATAAAGTGGTCCTTCGTGGGCAGCCACAAAGAGACACAAAGCTCTCCTCTGATGACTCAACTTTCCAACTCAGCTTGACCAATGGGAGCTCAACTTTAACTATGACCTCAGGAAATCCGGCTTCTAATCCTGTTTCCTGTCTTTGAAGATTTGTGTTTGGAACAAAGGTCTTGACATTTTTGTGCCATGAGAGTTTTAAGAAAACACTTGTCATTCAGGTTGCTAAGTTGTTGTTGGTTCAACCTAACAAACAGATTGCTTGCTCTCACTCTGTCCCTTGTCCCTACTGTCAGATTCTCAAGGGAGTTCAAGCAAGTCAGCACTGGATTTGTTTTCCTGTCTGGGCTCATTGACAAGGTTATTTCCCAGCTCTTCCCTGTACCTACCGACTACCACCTAACAAAAACCTGAAGACTTTTGATTGAAGAACAATCTGAAGGCCCTTTCATTAGACAGGTACCAAGCACACCAAAAAATACATCTCCAATAGACAGCTTGCCTTTTCTACAGACAAGAACTTAAATGAACTTAAATTCCACAGACAAGAACTTAAATTTATATTTTCAAGATTTAAACCAAGAGCTTTAGATTCATATACATTCATAGTAATCAGATTGTACACTGACCTTAACAATAACAGTTATAAGCAACAATGTTTTTTTTCCAAACAGAAATTTCTATGTTACATTTCTAAAATAGTTCTTTTCACTTTCCATCAGTTCTCATCCAGATTTCCAAAGAAAGAAAAATAACTTATTTCTGAATGAGTCTAATGCCTCTAGATGTAGAGGATAATTCATGATGCTTCTTTACAAACCACTTCCCTTTTCCTTTCTGCACAGTCTTGTAGTGCAGTGGAGTGTAACCTGAACCAGATTTCTTAAATCACTCTTTCCCAGGGATTCTTTCACACCTGGAAGTGGGGGTCAAGTGATGAGAGACAGAACATGAGCCAATTCTTGGTTAAGTAGGACTATTTTTTGTACTCTCACCTCTCTACTATCAGGAGAGAGATTTTGTCAAGCACACTTGAAAATAAGAAATCATTTGCAAACATGTTGATTATGGATGACCTATCACTTTTTCTCCACAGATTTTCCCCATAAGATGACTGACATCCTTGATAGAATATTTTCAATGCGAGAAGCTAGTATTTATTAGTTCTCCCCCCATGAGTGGGGAAAATGTCATTTACAAAACAAAACCAATAATAATGACAAAACTGAATGGATAAGCTTCCAAGGAAATACAAGGGACAGGGTTCTCTCCCTGGCCATTTGTAAAAGGACATTTTGCAAGGACATTTCTTGGCTCCATTTTGAGTGAGAGTCTGGCTACTCCAAAAAGGAAAAAGCATTGTGGGATGACTACAAGAGCTCATTCTCTTTTTTTGTTGTTGGTCGTGGGGCCTGAACGCTGAGTGTAGGCACTGTCCCTCAGCTCTTCAGCTCAAGGTTAATGTTCTACCACTTGAGCCACAGCTTTTTCTACTTATGTGGTACTGAGAAATCGAACCCAGGGCTCATGCATGCAAGGCAAGCAATCTAGCACTGAGCCATCTTCCCAGTCCCAAGAGCTCATTCTCTTACAGGACTCTGTTCACTCCAGAGTAGGAGGCAGATGGGAGGTTCAATCATCTATAAGGTGAAATCTACTTTTGAAGAAAATTTTGAGCATTGCTTAAGAGCTAGAAGGAAAAGCAGATGTCTGAAGCCCATTCATGTTTTTTCCTTAAAAATACTGAAGCAAACAAATAACAGGATTATTTTTAAGAGAATTTAGACATCTAGATGAACTTACCTTCCCCTGGCCAATATCCTAAAAAAATTGTCCAGACTGGGTTGGGCATTCAAATTGTGAAAGAGAATCACTTATTACAAGATATATTGATGTTATGCGGACAGACACAAACCAATATATAGATAGCTAGCTGAGCTCCAAATACAAACTACAATATACAAGGCCATGATCTTTCATCAAGCTTTGTAGACTTTGTCTTAATTTAGTACATACTTTGTTTTCACCTTAGGCTAAAATTAGATGTGGGCTTATCCAAAGCAGGAATATTCCTTGACAATCTTTGTGGTCTAGCAGAGCACTGTCTGAATTCAATAAATGCCTAATTGTATTGACTTTCAAAATGATTATATTAATAGTGGCAATTAAGATAACTAACAAGAATGCAAATTGTTCATGTTTTTATATATTCTATTTTATTCCATTCATGCAATGCATGGAATAATGTATGGAAAAACTCACTGTTATTAAACCATAGAGCTGGACACTGGTAGCTCACACCTGTAATCCAAGCTACTCAGAAGGGCAGCCCAGGCAAAAAGTCTATGTGACTCTTATCTTCAGATAATCAGAAAAAAAAACAGAATTGGGGCTGTGGCTCAAATCAGTAGAGCTCTAGTTTTGAACAAAAAAGCTAGGAGGGAGTGGAGAAATAGTGATAGCAAAATAAATATAGGGAAAAGCAAACCCTGACACAGCACCAGAGAAGTACAATTTGGCTTAATGTTTATTGAGATTAATTTTGTGGTATATAATATCTAAAAAATATACATTGTGGGGCTGGGAAGGTGGCTCAGTGGTAGAGTGCTTGCCTTGAATGCTTGAGGCCCTGGGTTCGATTCCTCAGCACCACATAAGCAAAAAGAAAAAAAGACGGAAGTGGCGCTATGGCTCAAGTGGTAGAGTGCTAGTCTTGAGCTGAAGAGCTGAGGGACAGCACCCAGGCCCAGAGTTCAGGCCCCACTACCGGACCCAAATATATATACTTTGTCAGGAATATTTACTATAATACTCATTTATTACCAAGATCTTATGGTCACAGTTTAAAGCCAGCCTTGGCAGGGAAGTCCATTAGACTCTTACCTCCAATTCACTATCAAAAAGCTTGAAGTAGAGCTGTGGCTCAAGTGGAAGAGCAATAGCCTTGAGTACAAAAGCTCAGGGACAATGTTTTAGCTCTGAGTTTAAGTTCCAGGAGCCACTTGTGCGTGCACGCACAAAGTATTTATTATAGTGCTGTCCATAATAGCTGAAAAACTAGAAGCATCAGAATTCTGAGTAATCCTGTCCTTACTGACATAAAAGTGTCACATAGTATTATTATATAGAAAGATTGGTTTAGTGTTACATTGTATAATTATATAGAAATATTGCTTTCAAAAGATTTGTTTATATTTTGCTTTTAAAATGTATGCATCAGGGATTGGGGGGGGGTGGCTAAGTGGTAGAGTGCTTGCCTTGCATGCATGAGGCCCTGGGTTCGATTCCTCAGCACCACATAATCAGAAAAAGCTGGAAGTGGCACTGTGGCTCAAGCTGTAGAGTGCTAGCCTTGAGCACAGAGAGGCTCTGGGACAGAACCCAGGCCCTGAGTTCAAGCCCTAGGACTGGCAAAAAAAAATAAGTCATTATCCCAACTTCCAGACAAGCAGGTCCATCCATCTGAAGCTTGTAATTAAGCCAACTCATCCTCTACTAACTTTAGCAGATAGTTCACCTATGAGAAGGACATGTCTCAAACACACGACAAAAGGAAATTTGAAAGAGAGCACAGTGCATCATTACCTTATGATCAATTCTGGCCACCAAACTCCACTGAAGAACCCCTTCTCAAAAATTTACTGCTTTCGAGAGAAAGGTGAGGTGACCAACTGTGTCCCAGTTAAATGCCAGGAAGCTGTAGGGGAAACACAGTGACTGGCCATCATTATCATTACCAAAATCATCATCATCACCATTAATATCATCATCACCATCATCACCATTTTCATCGCTATCATCATCACAGTCACATCACCATCATCACCATTATTATCATTATTGTTGTTTGGGCTTCACCAAAAAATTTCACTGGAAAGAAACATGGGATTTGTTTTTCTTCTCTTTCAGTATTTCTCATCCTGTCTCTTGTTGATGGTATACATCACTTTTTCAATTCATTCTTCAATTTCAGCTTACATAGTTTAGATCTAGTTTATTAGAGATATTTGGTTTCCTGATTATTTTCCACTTTCTATTGTACTATAAGTACTGTTCAACATTTTATATAGTCTTTCCTTATTAATAACTATAATATTTGTTAGCAAGTGAGTTTATAATAATGGATTCAACCATTGTTGAATAACTCTTACCACTGAATATTTAGTTCCTGACACAAATTGTATGCCAGTGAATAATATTTATGAAATGCACTATATATTAGAAATGGTACTAAGTGTTTTGTGAATTGTTCAATAGTCTCAATAATTCAAGGATGCTGATATACCATTGTTATTCAATGTATAGGCCCAGACACTTTGGAGTTAATTTTGTACCACTTGCCCTATGAATCTGTAGATAATTTAGATTAAAAGGCAAGGGATTAATTCTGAGTTCATACTCAGCTTTCCTATAGATTGCTCTCCCACTAGTATCTCATTACCTAAAAGTTAAAAACCCAAGTAGCTATGGTCTAATCAGCGGTTAGGAGACAACCTTTTAGAAGCAAACCAACACCGCACATTAAAAAATTAATATATATCTTTTATTGTTAAGATACTGTACAGAGTAGTTACAGTTACATGAGTAAGGTAATGAGTGCATTTCCTATGGCGTATTGTGATGCCCTCTTTTGTTTTTCCCCTACCATCCCTTCCCTCTCCACCTCCCCAACTCCTCCCTTCGCCCTCCTCAAATTTATTAAGTTCATTTTCAACATAGTGTCTTGTACATCTCATTGTTACAATGTGTCCTTATTTAAGCATTTTGTTATTTCCCTTCCCCTCCCCAAATTAGAAAAATGTATATACAAGATGCAGGGCACCAGAATCAAATACAGTGAAAATAGGGGTTATACCGTGGGAGAAGAACATACAAAAATATGGAATGCTTCATGAATTTGTATGTCATCCTTGTACAGGGGCCATGCTAATCTCTGTATCATTCCAATTTTAGTATATGTGCTGCCAAAGCTAGCACAACACAACACATTGAGACCTCCAAATGCTGAATTAGTAATCATCTGTCACATAGAAAAGGAAGGCAGATAGGAGGTTATTTTTATTGCCAATCTTTAGGAAACCTGCATTACTGCATGTTCTCAATATTGAGAACTGCTTGTTATCAGTCTGGGCTCATAAGGTTGACTTCTTGCCTCAGTCTATGTAACAGAAGCTGTAAGGAATTTTCATAATTTACTGAGAAGTGTGTTTTAGCTCCTCTAGGATAATTCCTGTGAAAGCTGGAGGTTGTAAAAATTGGTGATGGAAAGCACTAGTATATCTAGGGGTGTTCGTGGATGGTCATTGCTGGAGGCCTGAGGTTGCGAACTGCCTGTGTTCCAGCCAGCACCTCTCCCAGACCTAGCACCTCCCCCTCAGCCCTAGGAACTCAGCTGAAGTAGAACTTTCTAAAAGTAGACATATGGATAGAGGTAACTTCCTTTTAATTATATATATATATATATATATATATATATATATATATATATATATATATATATATATATATATATGAAGGTCAAATGACTCTGTGTGTGTGTGTGTGTGTGTGCGTGTGCGTGCGTGCTGGTCCTGGGTCCTGAACTCATGGCCTAGCACTTTGAGCTGTTTTGCTCAAAGCTAGCACTCTACCACTTACGCTACATTTCCACTTCCAGCTTTTTTGGTAATTAAGTGGAGATAAGAGTCTCACAGACTTTTCCTCTCCAACCAGGCAGGTTTCTAATCTCAATCCTTAGATCTTAACCTCCTGAGTAACTAGGATTACAGCATCCAATAGGTTACCCCCCCCTTTTTTTAATGCAATGAGCTCTTTATTATGGTAAGTACCTTAGGATCAAAGACCACCAATTATTACTCTTTATTGAAGTAAAACTTAGAATAAATGTACATACATTAGTTAGCAGAGAAATGGAACCCAAAATCCAACAAGATAACTAGACATCCACCAGAATGACTAAAATTAAGTAAACCGACATTAAGTATTTAAGGAGGGTACAGTGAAACCAGAACTCTCCCACTTGCTGATGAAAATGAGAAGTTGTTAAAGAATTTCAGGAAAAGTTCTGTGTAACCAAGAAAAAACATACACCATAATCTAGCAATTCCATGCCTATTATTTGCCCAGGAGGCTTAAAAACAAATATTCACAAGAACTTGTGTAAAAAGGTTCATAGTCATTCTGTTCCCTGGAATGGAAAACTTACAAACATCTCAGGTGTCCACTCATCATCATAAAATAATGGAAAACAATGTTGCTTTGATTTGTATTTCTTTTATGACTAGAGAAGTTGAGCATTTATTCATTTGTATATTAGCCATTCTTTTTTTCATATATATTTTTATTGTAAAAGTACTGTACAGAGGGGTTACAGTTACATGAGTAGGGTAATGAGTACATTTCCTATCAAACATTGTTACCTCCTCCTTTGTTTTTCACCTACCATCCCTTCCCTCCCCACCTCCCAATTCCTCCCTCTCCCCTGCTCCGGAATTATAAGTTAATTTTCTACATAGTGTCTTGTACATCTCATTCTTACAGTGGGTCAACCTGTATACGTATTTAAGCATTTTGTTATATCCCTTCCAAAATATCAATGTTGTTTTAGGGCTAGAGATGGTGAGCATTTCTTCATGTGTCTAATGGCCATTCTTATTTCCTCTTCAGAGAAGTCTCTCTTTAGCCTACTTATTAATTGGGCAGTTGTTTGAGGATTTGTTGAGGGATTTGAGATTCTACTTCACCCTAGTTAAAATGGCTATAATCAAGAAATCTAATAACAATGGATGCTGGAGAGGATGTGGCTAAAAGGGAACCCTAACTCATAGTTGTTGGGAGTGTAAACTTGTTCAACCACTTTGGAAAGCAGTATGGAGGTTCCTCAAAAAACTACACATATTACTTTACTCATGTAACTGTAACCCCTCTGTACAGTATCTTTACCATAAAAATATATTAATAAAAATAACACCCCCCAAAAACTCCACATAGAGCTCCCCTATGACCCAGCAATCCCAGTTTTGGGCATTTACCCAAATGATCACAAACAAGGCTAAAGCTACCAGCACAACTATGTTTATCATAGCATTGTTTACCATATTTAAGATATGGAACAAACTCAGATGCCCCTCCGTAGATGAATGGATCAAGAAAATGTTACACACACACACACACACACACACACACACACACACACACACACAATGGAATTCTATGCTTCCATCAGAAAGAATGACATCGCCCCATTTGTTAGGAAATGGAAAGACTTGGAAAAAAGTATATTAAGTGAAATAAGCCAGGCCCAAAGAAACATAGGTCCAATAGTTTCCTTTATTTGCAATAACTAGTAAATGTCTAGGATAATCTTACTAGACAAGCAGAAAAGGTCAAAAGCTATGTACATATGACCATACAAGATGATGCTAAATGATATGAACCCCAAGATAGGGACACAAATGGTTTTTTTCTTTGTCGCTGTTGTTTTTAATGTACTATGTGATTTTTTTGTTTGTTTCTTTTATATGTTCTTCCCCCATGGCATAACCCTGTTTTCACTGCATTTGATTCTGCACTGTATTTGATTGATGCCCTGCATCTGGTATATACATTTTTCTAGTTTGGGGAAGGGAAGGGAAATAATAAAATGCTGAAACAAGGATACAGGTTGACCCATTGTAACAATGAGATGTACAAGACACTATGTTGAAAACAAACTTTACAGCTGGGGGTGGGATGGGGAGCATTGGGGTGGGAAAGGATGGTAGGGGAAAAACAAAGGAGAGGGTAACAATACTCGATAGGAAATGGACTCACTACCTTACACATGTAACTATAACCCCTCTTTACAGTATCTTTACAATAATGTGTGTGTGTGTGAGTGTGTGTGTGTGTGTGTGTGTGTAGATAATGGAAAACAAATTCTAGCACAGACAAAACAAAATACTACCTATAAGTGAAAAGCAATATATATGTCACCATGGATAAATCTCAAAAAGCATTATGCTAAGTTGCTGAGCCAGCTACAAAAGAATATGGAATAGTGTGTTCCATTTCCAACAGGAAAATCTGATCCATGGTGGAAAATACCAGAATAGTATCTGTCTAGAAGAGTGGTCCCAAGGCTTGAGAAAAATGACCTATCTTAAAAAAATTTCATTGTAAAAGTGATAAAAAAGATGGCTTACAGTTACATAATAAGGTAATGAGTACATTTCTTTTTGAACAGTATTACCCCCTCCTTCATTTTTTCCCACTTTCCCTGCCCCCAACACCACTCTTCCCCCAGGTTATAAAGTGAATTTCCAACATAGTGTCTAGTGAGTATCACTGCTAAATTGGTTCACCATTTTCTGTGATTCCCTTTCCCTTCCCCAGATAAACTTCCATAGAAGACAAAAGGTGCAGAAACCAAAAACAGTAACAACAGGGAATAAACCAAAAGAAAAAAAAAGAAATATCTGAAATCAATACATTAAAAAACCTCTTGTTTCCATTTCTTGGAGTTCATTTCAATAAGCATTATTTTATATGGTCATATGTACATAGGTATTGAGCTATTGTGATCCTCTGCTAAGAATATCCTAGATAAATTCTAGTTATTACAAATGAGGGAAACCATGCAACCTACATTTCTTTGGGTCTGGCTTGCTTAGCTTAATATAATTTTTTTCAAGTCTTTCTATCTCCTTATGAATGGGG